AGAACCAGGGTCAGAGCCTGCACGTGGAGCGGGCACAGGCTGCCCACGCGGGACGCTACAGCTGCCTGGCCGAGAACGTGGCTGGGAGGGCCGAGAGGAGGTTTGCGCTGTCCGTGCTGGGTGAGGACCGGGGGCCGGCCGGAGGGGGGCAGGAAGGGGGCCCAGACTGGAGAAGGCAAGGCTGGGTCACGCCTCATTCTCCCAAGAAGCAGGCCTCTGGTGAGGTCTGGTGGGGGAAGCCTTCAGCACGGCTCCCAAATCAGGACTGGCTTCAAATGGCCCTAATCTCCCCCCACTTTTCCCTCCCTTCCTGTCTGTCCCCCTGCTCTGTTCTGGGCACTGTGGAAATGAGCTACTCTCCCTGCATGACTTACAGGTGATAGGGGGATTCAGGGGCCTGAACGCTGTCGGGGGAAGTCAGGGCAGCCTCCTGTAGGAGGTGGCCTTTCAGCTGAAGTGTAGAAGCAGGATGGGAGTTAGCCAGGTGCCAGGGTGAGGGGGGAAGTGTGCCGGGCAGAGGGGACACACCCCACAGAGGCCGGGAGGGGTGGCAGGTTCAGGGTAGCTAGAACAGCCTTGTGGTTTCAGTCTTTTATTGAGCTCCTACTGTATGCCTCAGGGCAGGAGAGAAGATGGGAGAGATGGGCCGTGTGGCTGGGACCCCACCCCACCCGCTCACCCCAGCCTGATAGAGCGGGGCTTCCTGTGCGAGTGGATGCTCTAGACACCACAGAGCTCTGACACGTGGATCTGGGGGACGCATCTGTGTCCACCTTTGCTCTCGGCCAGTCTCGTTTGCTCAGCATCGGCTCCGTACCAGGCACTGTGCTGAGAGCTTTACACGTGTTCTTGTTGAATCCTCCTGGCATCCCTCTAGGGCAGCGGTTCTCAACCTGTGGGTCGCGACCCCTTTGGGGGTCGACCGACCCTTTCACAGGGGTCGCCTAAGACCATCGGAAAACATTATATAATTACATATGTTTTTGTGATTAATCATTATGCTTTAATTATGTTCAATTTGTAACAATGAAATTGGGGGTCACCACAACATGAGGAACTGTGTTAAAGGGTCGCGGCATGAGGAAGGTTGAGAACCACTGCTCTAGGGGCTGGAGAAACTGAGGCCCAAGGTGTCTGCCTGACGCCAAAGCCCCGCCTGTGGTCGCCACTCACCCCTTTCAGTGGGAGCAGCTCTTGAAGCCTTCAGCCCCTCCTGAGTGGGGGTGGGGCTCCTGGGGGAGGGCCGTGCGTGGGGGTCGAGGAAGGAGCACACGGCCCTGTCTGCATCCTGAATAAGGCTGTTTCTCTGTGTCCAGTGCCCCCAGAGCTCATCGGAGACTCGGACCCGCTGACCAACGTCACTGCCGCCTTGCACAGCCCCTTGACGCTGCTCTGTGAAGCCACAGGCATCCCACCCCCGGGGGTCCGCTGGTTCCAAGGGGAGGAGCCCATCAGCCCCGGGGAGGACACCTACCTCTTGGCGGGTAAGGTGCCGACCAGGGGAGTGTCTGGTGATCGGGCCTGGCCCTCCGCTTCTGCCTCTGCTCAGCACATGCCCGTGACTTCTGACCCTGAGCGGCCAGCTGGGGTGGCATAAACATTTTGGCTGTTGGTCCCCCAGGAGTATATCCCAAAACACTGGTCAGGTGATGTGCTCCAGGAAACACATTAGATTTGACTACGTTTAGAAAGGCTTCCTGCTTTGCTCCCCTCCTACAGACTCACAGTGGCCATTTATAGTCAAGGCTCTGATAAATCCTGCAGCAAAAATTCTCACGGCACTTATATAACATCTCACACACAGTACAGGTGGGCGAATGGGCATAGGGTCTAAGCACCTCTGCCTCTGAATATTCGTCCTCCTCACAAAGTTGGTTTGCGATCGTTCTTGCTGACATACCAATGGGGAAACTGAGGTCCAGGAGGCAGTGTCCCATCCAAAGCTTATAAGGACTTCAGGGCCCCCTGAAGCTCACCCTCAGTGACCCGTCCGTTGTTCCCCGCAGGGATGTTCCGGTTGTTCCAAAGCTGGGATGGCAGTAAGCTTCCCCTTGTGCACCTCCTCTGAGCCCTTGGTGGGGCTGCCAGATGCATTGCGATGAGGTGGACTCAGGGGCCGCATCAGGGCCCAGCAGAAAGGAGAGCAGTGATCGATTAGCGATGTCTGCCCTGGGTATAGGAGCAGCTGTGTTCACGTGTCCCGGGCATGTGCCTTCCCTGGGCTGGTCTTGGGAGAAGGCAGCCTTTTCCAGGGTCCATCAGCGTAGCAGGGCGGTCTGGCCTGGGCCAGGCCCATGGCTGTCCTTTTAGCCGTGGTCAGTCTCCAGAAGTGGGGGGAGCCAGGTGACAGATCCTTCTTCTTAAACGGGGCCTCGGGCTTACCCTGCGCATGTCTAATGTCCAGGGGGCTCCACCCATCTGTTCACCCTCCTGGGCCTCAGTTT